CAGTTTAGTTCTAGCTTCCACAGGCCATTTAAGTCCTGGGGAGCCTATCACAATAGAATTTACAAATGCAGAGAAGGTGGTTTGAAGGACTAGTAATTTGTCCAAGGTCACATGACCGACCGACAAGCGGCAGAGGCAAGTTTGTAGTGAGTTCACCTAACTGCAGGGCCTCAGCTCGTAGCCTAGGCTAGAGAGTTTCTTTATGCTGTGACTGCCCTAAGTAAGCCGCATCAAGATTCGTCTGAGGGTTTGTTGTGCAAGTCAGGGGCAGCTGTTGCATTTCTGCACAATCCATGCAGGTTAGATTTTGCTTAGCAATTCCTGGGCAGTTTTGTTGTTGTTTTTCCCAGGTTCTCTTGGTGCATTGTGTTCTGCTTTTTGTTTGTTGGTGAGCAGCCCTTTGGTACTTACTGTTTCAGAAAAATCTAATGGGACAGATGCGATCAAGGAGGAAGAACTAACATTGTAAATAGCTCTTTTCTTGGGCTGCCAAAAAGGAAGAAACTTGGGTGGAGGGGGATGTTGCTGCCATCCTGTCTGAAGCTAAAATCCCAAGCAGAGAGGTTATAGGCCTCCATTTTCATTTAAGCTTTATTTAATAATTTCCCATTCCCCAAAATTTCTAGATGGGTATTTAGAGGAAATGCTAGTTAGAGGAAAAGGGGCGCAGAGAAGATTTTATTAGTTGGAAATGTTGTAGCTTTATGCAGGAAAGTCTTCACCTTTCTTTCTTGTCTTTTCTAATTGTTTTGGGGGTAGTTTTAGTGCTGGTTTAGGATAGCCAACCTAAGCACCTCTAAACCAGAGGCATGGAAGTAAACGTTAGAAAATGACGGAGGGCTCGCCCAATCCTGCCTTTTTGTTAAAAGCAAGGGCAGTTTCAATCTTAGTTTTAAGGTTACTTTGGGAGCTGGATTGAGATGGTTGAAGAGGGAAGATTCCTAATGGAGAACTAGGAGCTGACAGAGCTGTATGTACTTCCACCTGCTTTAACTCATACTGGTATTTCCTCTTTCCCGGCTCCTATCGGCTGCTTCTAGTTGTCTTGCTATTGAATTATGTACAGCCAGGTATTACTGCATAGTCACTTCATCTTGTCATCCAGTTAGATCTTAAAGTCCTTGTTTGGCCAAATGCCAAGAGCTCCATAAAATGGGAATTTTTATTCTGCCACTGATTTGGCTTAAATAATTTGTTTTTGGATTTTAGTGTCACATATTTAATAATAGAGTGATGATCTTTTATCTCATGGGGCAACTTGAAAATAAGTATGAAAACTGTACCTCCCGGATTTCCTAGATGCGTTTCACGTTCCATCATTCTAATCTATTGTCAGGCACAGGTATGTACTTTTTAGTTTAGAAAATGAGATCATCGTACAAGTGTGACAAAGTATGCCTCATACAAAGTGTGCTTTTCTTTCTTTCTTTCTTTGGAAGGCGCTACAGGAATCCGAGCTTAATGGAGGCCAGGGGTACCAGGATGTACTTCAGGCTTCTGATGTCACCGGTGTCCTTAAGTGACAATGAACAAATAACCTAGATATCAAAGCACACATATCCTCTCTTTTCACTGAAAGTTTATCTTAAGGTTTTAGGCCCAATACCTACAAGCTTATTAAAATAGCCCTTGTCACACATATAAGCCATTTTTTATTAGCTCTTCAATTTTTTGGTCTTTTCCCTATGCATAGGTGCTTCTCCTCTTTAAAAAAAAGTATTATTATAAAAACTTACATGATTACATTTTCATTGTAAATGTTTTAAACCATGGTAGAATCCAGAGCAGAACAGGAAGTTTCCTCTCCACCATCCTGCTGTGCCCCCAACACTCATTTGCTTCCCCAGAGATATCTAGCTGTCTATCTGTCTGTCTATCTATCTATCTATCTATCTATCTATCTATCTATCTATCTATCTATCTATCTATGGTGTAGAGTAGGAATTGTTTCTTTCGCTTCATAGAATTTTAGACAGATGAGCTAAACTTACACACTGAAGCTACTTATCCTGATAAATTTTCCTCATTTACTCTTTCTCTACAGTATTTACAATTTTGTTTCTTTTTTTCTTGGTGAGCACTCTGCCCGTTGCCATGCCCAGGGGTGTGTGTGTGCATGTGCGTGCACGCGCGCGTGCATGTGCGTGTTTGTGTGTGTACACACATGTATACTTATAATAAATTGGGGCTCAAATTTTGTGTATTATACAATGACTTCTTTTTTTAACTTACCTGTAGCAGAGTATTTCTTGGGAATTCTTTTCATGTCAGGACACATAAGTCCAACTTCTTTTCTCTCTTTTGTTGTTATTGTTGTTGATGGTTATATAGTGCTTCATTTTATGGGTGTACCTGATATTTAACTGCTCACTTATTGATGGACATGAAGTTTTTCATTTTTACGCACACAATGGAGCAATCCTGTATACAAATGTGACTGTGCACGTGTACCAGTGTTCCTGCTGGATAGTTGCCTGGCAGTGGAAATGCTCAGAGTGATGCCCATTTTTGGTTTTGGTGGGTGCTGCCAAATTATTTTCCCAAAGGAATTCACCAATTTAAACTCATATCCATGGTATTTAAGAGTACGTGTTTCCCAGATCTTTATAAACACTTTATGATGTCATTATTTTCATTTTTATCAGTCTGATAAGTGAAAAGCAGCATGTGATTAATTTTTTTTTTTTTTTTTTTTTTTAGCTGAGCCATCCCGCCACCTGTTGGCAGCTCACGGCTGCTCAGCTCGGGCTGACTCGAACCACTGTTGCTCA